CGCTCTCACTCATCTCAGTAATACAAATGAGTTTTTGTTGGCAGATCCCCGCCGGCTGCTCTTAAAGAGAATTTTTTTTCGATTCTTTGCACTTTTTTTATTTTCCATCGATCGTGCCAAACAAGTGTCGTCTCCAGATACCCCCCCTCCCCCCCCCCATCCCACTTTCCTTCCTTCTTATCCTCCTCTCCAAGCGGCTTTAATTCGCTCCTTCCCGGCGCAGAGGACGCTTCATATATCACTCACCTTCTCTCATTTCTGTGTGGGCCACTTCCCCACCTTACCGTGCGTCTGCTTAAAGCGGCCGCGCGCAAAAAAGAAAAAGAGCCGTCGCATTTATTAACCCCAATTTTCTGCGTCACGTAAATCACTTAACGCGCATTGCATGTGTCAGCGCCGTTCAAAGCAGAACACGCGGGCGGGCATTGCGGATCACCACAACGCATGCTGACGCACGACCGTGCATGGCGGCATGCTGCACTACCAGAATGGCGCATGTCTTTTTTTTTTGGGATAGTTCCTTCTGTCCATTTGGCGGGTTTGTTCCAGTTTTCTGGTGTCACCAGGGGCAGACTGACAACTCATGGGGCCCCCGGGCAATAGGGGATCATGGGGCCCTGTGTCCTTGCCCAAACTCAAAAAAGCCTATGAAAAAGGTACCAGGGGCATCTCATGGGGCTCCCTACTGACCCCGGGCCCTCGGGAAGTGCCCAAGTTTCCAAATGGTCAGTCCGCCCCCGGGTGTTATTGTCATTTTGTTACATTGTTATGAATCTGATATAAATAGAATCATCTGAGGACACAATGATGAGAATTTGGTTCTTTTTTTTTTTTTTGGTGGCCCCCAAAGCGTGGGGCCCCGTGCAGCAAACCAACGTGAGATTCCTGCGCTAGTTTTCCCAATAGACAACAATGGGACACCTGTGCACCCCTATGTGCGTAAACGCAGCCCTGCATTGGGGCACAGGTGTAATCGCCCCGTGTCAATGAGGCCTAAGGAACTAAAGGCAAGTGGAGCCATCTGTGGTGAAACGAGAGAACTGCATGCCTAACACCCTGCTACAAGTACTTTCCCTGCAGGATCGTTCGTTCGATGAATATCGAAGATATTGAAAAGGATTAGGGTACATTTTAAAAACAAATACTTTTAATCCTCTGATCTCCTGCATGCTCTTTGAGGCCACTTCCTGTCTACATGCACTCCAGTGGTGGCTGCCCGGCATTTTTCAGGGTGTGGTTACCCATCGGTGACAACGGTGGTCCATGTCTGTGTGATGTGTGTGTAGTCTATGTCACCCAAACCGTCCTCTCCGCTCCTCCCACGACCTCCTGCTCTCTAGCTCCCTTGTCTCCTCCTCCCATGCTCATCTCCAGGACTTCTCCAGAGCCTCCCCCATCCTCTGGAACTCTCTACCCCATTCTATCAGACTATCGCCTACTCTGCCCACTTTTAGGCGACCTCTGAAAACTGATCTCTTCAGGGAAGCCTATCCTGCCCTCAGCTAATAATGGAATCTTCTATTCAGGGGCCGACTGACAACTCATGGGGCCCCCGGGCAAGAGGGGATCATGAGGCCCCTGTTTCCTTGCCCACACTCAAACCACACCCAAAAAAGGCTACGAAAGGTACCAGGGGCATCTCATGGGGCCCCCTACTGGCCCCGGGCCCTCGTGCCCGAATGGCCTGTCCACCCCTGCTTCTATTCCTTCTATCAATCCATCCTCCACAGTTATTACCTTGGGGCCCCCTACTGATCCCGGGCCCTCGTGCCCGAATGGTCAGTCCACCCCTGCTTCTATTCCTTCTATCAATCCATCCTCCACAGTTATTACCTTGGGGCCCCCTACTGATCCCGGGCCCTCGTGCCCGAATGGTCAGTCCACCACTGCTTCTATTCCTTCTATCAATCCATCCTCCACAGTTGTTACCTTGGGGCCCCCTACTGACCCTACTGACCCCGGGCCCTCGTGGCCAAATGGTCAGTCCACACCTGCTTCTATTCCTTCTACCAGTCCATCCTCTGCAGTTATTACCTTGGGGCCCCCTACTGACCCTGGGCCCTTATGCCCGAATGAGCAGTCCTGCCCTGCTTCTATTCCTTCTACCAGTCCATCAAGCACAGTTGTTACCGTGGGGCCCCCTACTGACCCTACTGACCCCGGGCCCTCGTGCCCAAATGGTCAGTCCACCCCTGCTTCTATTCCTTCTACCAGTCCATCAACCACAGTTATTACCTTGGGGTCCCCTACTGACTCTGGGCCCTCGTGCCCGAATGGTCAGTCCTGCCCAGGGGCGGACTGACCATTTGGAAACTCGGGCACTGACCGAGAGCCCGCGGTCAGTAGGGGGCCCCATGAGATGCCCCTGGTACCTTTTTCATAGGCTTTTTTGAGTTTGGGCAAGGACATAGGGGCCCCATGATCCCCTATTGCCTGGGGGCCCCATGAGTTGTCAGTCCACCCCTGGTCCTGCCCCCTGCTTCTATTCCGTCTACCAGACCATCCCCCACAGTTATTACCTTGGGGCCCCCTACTGACCCTGGGCCCTCGTGCCTGAATGGTCAGTCCGCCCCTGCTTCTATTCCTTCTACCAGTCCATCCCCCGCAGTTATTCCCTTGGGGCCCCCTACTGACCCTGGACCCTCGTGCCCAAATGGTCAGTCCCGCCCCTGCTTCTATTCCTCCTACCAGTCCCTCCCCCCGCAGTTATTATCTTGGGGCCCCCTACTGATCCTGGACCCTCGTGCCCAAATGGTCAGTCCCGCCCCTGCTTCTATTCCTCCTACCAGTTCCTCCCCCGCAGTTATTACCTTTTGTACCACAAGCTCCTCCCTCTTAGATTGTAAGCTCCCGGGATCAGGGCCCTCCTAACCCTCTTGTATTGAACTGTATTGTCTCCCTTTGCGCTGAGCACACTGTTGGCGTACAAATCCCGTAGAGTAATAATAGTAGTCTCTACCAGGATGACAACACAGGAGCACCAGGTACGGAGCGTTGTCACCCTAAAACAGGAAGTGCCGGAATGAAGGACCTTTTCGGCAGGATCACCAGGCATTATTGTAACGAAAGATCTAAAAATATTAAAAACTACTTTTTTTTTTAGAAAATCATCTTAACATGTTGAGGTTTCAGAGATCGTGACCCCTCCCCCCCTGATTGCGGTCCATTCCCCCCCCAATCGCGGTCCATCCCCGCAGCGCTTCTATTAGGACCTGACAAGGATGGGGGAAGCGCTCGGAGGAATCCCGCGGCTCGTTCTCGCAGCTCGCCAGTAAAGCGTCTGAATGTTGTGCCGGGGTTGGAGACCGCAAACTTCCAGCCGAAACCCCACAAGAATAATATTTCCAGACTGAGAAACCCAAATTTCAGTGCGAAGACCACATGAAACGCCTTCCCATCTAAATCACCCCGAAGGGCCGCCATTTTTCCAATACGACAGCCACAGGAAGGAGCGGATTGTGGCGGCGCGGAAAAATAACAGCGAAAAAAAATGAGGAGGGGGAGGGGAGCCGGACGACGTACAGCGAAGGCGTGCGCCAAATCCTGCCGAATGAGAAGACATTCCGGATTCATTCATTCCTTCCTTGTAATGACTGGTTGGCTTCACCTCTGTCTGCACAAGCAGGAAGGAAACAGAGGTCGTCTCACTTCTCACGCTGCATTCTGTATGATGTGAGACCTCTATTGGAATAATAGGTGGGCGGAGCTGGGAACACCAAGGTGGAGGTCTTGTGGCTGGTGTTCTTGAATGATAGGGTGCTTGGGGGGGGGGGGGGGGTTATCTGACTCTCTCTGTATTGTTACCTGGGGTGTGTTTAGTTTTTAAAGGGTGTTCAAGGTAAAGACCCATCTCCCAGTGATCAGACTGTACATTGTAACTTTGTAGAAGGAGGAGGAGGCATTTCCTCAGTCTCCCCTCCCCCAGTGATCAGACTGTACATTGTAACTTTGTAGGAGGAGGAAGCATTTCCTCAGTCTCCCCTCCCCCAGTGATCAGACTGTACATTGTAGCTTTGCAGTAAGTAGGAGGAGTGCAGGGCTCAGGAGTGGATAACGCAGGGAGTGCAGGGGTCAGGAGTGAATAACGCAGGGAGTGCAGGGCTCAGGAAAGGATAACGCAGGGAGTGCAGGGGTCAGGGGTGGGTATCACAAGGAGTGCAGGGCTCAGGAGTGGGTATCGCAGGGAGAGCAGTGGTCAGAGGTGGGTATTGCAGGGAGTGCAGGGCTCAGGAGCGGGTATCGCAGGGAGTGCAGGGCTTAGGAGTGGGTATCGCAGGGAGAGCAGTGGTCAGAGGTGGGTATTGCAGGGAGTGCAGGGCTCAGGAGCGGGTATCGCAGGGAGTGCAGGGCTCAGGAGTGGGTATCGCAGGGAGTGCAGGGGTCAGGAGTGGGTATTGCAGGGAGTGCAGGGGTCAGGAGTGGGTATTGCAGGGAGTGCAGGGCTCAGGAGTGGGTACCGCAGGGAGTGCAGGGCTCAGGAGTGGGTATCGCAGGGAGTGCAGGGCTCAGGAGTGGGTACCGCAGGGAGTGCAGGGCTCAGGAGTGGGTACCGCAGGGAGTGCAGGGCTCAGGAGTGGGTATCGCAGGGAGTGCAGGGCTCAGGAGTGGGTATCGCAGGGAGTGCAGGGCTCAAGAGTGGATATCGCAGGGAGTGCAGAGGTCAGAAGTGTATGTTACAGAGGTCAGTGTAGATAATATAATAGAATTGTCTGAGGATTGGAGAAAAAAAAATTGTGGAAAAGCACAGACAATCTCAAGGTGACAAGTCCATCTCCAGAGATCTTCATGTTCCTGTGTCCACTGTGCACAGCATTGTCAAGAAGTTTCCAGCCCATGGCACTGTAACTAATCTCCCTGGATTTGGACAAAGAGAAAAATTGATCAAAGGTTGCAATGAAGGATTGTTGGAATGGTGGCTAAAGAACCTCCATGCAAGGCTGGAGGGGAGGAGCCGGTACACCTGTGCAAGGCTGGAGGGGAGGAGCTATTACACCTGTGCAAGACTGAAGGGGAGGAGCCGGTACACCTGTGCAAGGCTGGAGGGGAGGAGCCACTGCACCTGTGCAAGACTGGAGGGGAGGAGCTGGTGCACCTGTGCAAGACTGAAGGGGAGGAGCAGGTACACCTATGCAGGACTGAAGGGGAGGAGCCGGTGTACCTGTGCAAGGCTGAAGGGGAGGAGCAGGTACACCTGTGCAGGACTGAAGGGGAGGAGCCGGCACACCTATGCAGGACTGAAGGGGAGGGGCTGGTACACCTGTGCAGGACTGAAGGGGAGGAGCTGGTAAACCTGTGCAGGACTGAAGGGGAGGGGCTGGTACACCTGTGCAAGACTGAAGGGGAGGATCTGTTACACCTGTGCAGAACTGAAGGGGAGGATCCGGTACACCTGTGCAAGACTGAAGGGGAGGAGCTGGTACACCCTGTGCAGGACTGAAGGGGAGTATCCGGTACACCTGTGTAAGGCTGGAGGGGAGGAGCCGTTACACCTGTGCAAGGCTGGAAGGGAGGAGCCGGTACACCTGTGTAAAACTGAAGGGAGGAGCCGGTACACCTGTGCAAGACTGAAGGGGAGGAGCCGGTACACCTGTGCAGGACTGAGGGGGAGGATCCGGTACACCTGTGCAGGACTGAAGGGGAGGATCCGGTACACCTGTGCAGGACTGAAGGGGAGGATCCGGTACACCTGTGCAGGACTGAGGGGGAGGATCCGGTACACCTGTGCAGGACTGAAGGGGAGGATCCGGTACACCTGTGCAAGACTGATGGGAAGGAGCCGGTACACCTGTGCAGGACTGAAGGGGAGGAGCCGGTACACCTGTGCAGGACTGAAGGGGAGGATCGGATACACCTGTGCAGGACTGAAGGGGAGGATCGGATACACCTGTGCAGGACTGAAGGGGGTGCTGGGGGGGGGGGGGGGGGGGATTTATCTGCGCTGTATACCTTACAGTTACAGACACTCACTGGCATCCTCCTTTCTTGTCTGGTTCAGCAGACGCGTTTTTTTTTTTTAAGTCGAACATAATTTGTCCTTTGGAAACGCCAGGGAAAGGCAGCTAATTGGTGGAAATTCCTTGAAGCGCCTTCCATTGATTTTTCCGTCCATTGTATCACTTTTCATACTTGACACTCCAACAATCTGCAAGATATTATTGGTGAAGCGGGAGGGCATCCTCCGGTACAAGATCTTCTTTCCACTCCGCCCGCTCACACGCGTGCTTTTCCATTTCGTTGGGATTTGATCATCCGATTGACTTTTTTTTTTAGTTTATGATGCGTGCGAGCGGCGAGGGGGCCCAGGTGCCCCGCGCTCCTCCCGCCGCCCTTTTTATTATTTGAAGAGGATCTTTTATTAACTTTACTGGTCGGAATACATTCCTGATATGTCACAATATACAGCCACGGGATCTGCACAGGTGCATTCAGAGACGTTTGCAGACGGGATAGAAAACAATCACCCCCCCCCCCCCACCCCCCCACCTTAATAATCACGTTTTTGTGCTTAGCAGCCTGAAATGAAGACATATGGGCAGCACGGCGGCTAAATGGTTAGCACTTCCACCTGGCAGTACTCGGGTCGTTGGTTCAAATCCCAACCATGGCACCACCTGCCTGGAGTTTGCCTGTTCTCCCTGTGCCTGTGTGAGTTTCCTCCAGGTATTCCAGTCTCCTCCTACACTCCAAAGACATGCTGGGAGGTTAATTGGCTCCTTAGATTGGCCCTAGTATATGAATGTAAGTTAGGGACCTTAGATTGTACGCCCCTTGAGGGTCAGGGACAGATGGGAATGTACAATATATATATAAAAATCAATGGTGCTCTATAAGTACCTGAAATAAAGAAGACAGACACCATTTTTGTTTTATCCAGCTGTATTTTCTCAGTGCAGTTTCTACCGTCCAAGTGAAAGATACAACATCAACACGTCAGAAAGAAGAAGAACAGAATCACTGAGCTGGAAAAAAGGACCCCCCCCCCCCTTGTGCCAGCATTTTGTTGGACCACCGTTTGCTTTAATTCCATCCCTTAGTCTCGGCAGGGGCGTCCCCAGGGTTGGTGTCACCCAGTGCAGTAACACTTGGTGACACCAGATTTTTCTTTTAAATTGTCAGCCTTTGTTTTTTATTGCGCAAAAAATAAAAAAAACGAACAGGCAATCAAATACCACCCAAAGAAAGCTCTATTCATGGGACAAAAAGGACTCAATTTCATTTGGGTGCAGTGTGGCATGACTGCGCAATTGTCAGTTAACCACCTTCCGCCCGCCCTATAGTACAATGGCGGGCGCAAGGTGGTTCTCTCGTTCTGATAGGACGTCATATGATGTCCTCCCATTCTCACTGCGCGGTTCAGGGAGCGCGCAGCGTGGCGATCGCCGGTCTGCTGTGTCCACGGAAAAAGAGCCGAAGATGTCGGCTCGGTCATGTGATCAGCTGTGTCCAATCACAGCTGATCACACGTAAACGCGGAAATGCCGGTTATCAGCATTTCTCTCCTCACGAGCTGTCACGCTGACAGAGGAGAGGAGAGGAGAGCTGGAAATCGGCTTTCCGCAGAGGGGACATGTACACTGATCATCAGGGCTAATACAAAAATGCTAAAAAATGCTGAAAAATGCATCAAAATGAGGTAAATCGTGACAAACCACCGTTTTTGGACTTTTTTTAACCAGAAAAAAAATTGTTTAACCAAAAAAAAAAAATAAAACTCGGGGAACAATGGTATCTGTATAGATGGAACCCAATCTGGCATTAAAATCGGGGAACAATTGGATCTTTATGGACACTACCTAATATGGTTGATTAAGATCAGGAAACAATTGTATCTGCATGGATGGAACCCTCTCTGACCCACTACAATCCGGGAACAATTGTATCTGCATGGATGGAACCCTCTCTGACCACCTACAATCCGGGAACAATTCTATCTGCATGGATGGTACCCTCTCTGACCACCTACAATCCAGGAACAATTGTATCTGCACGGATGGTACCCTCTCTGACCACCTACAATCCAGGAACAATTGTATCTGCACGGATGGTACCCTCTCTGACCCACTACAATCCGAGAACAATTGTATCTGCATGGATGGTACCCTCTCTGACCACCTACAATCCAGGAACAATTGTATCTGCACGGATGGTACCCTCTCTGACCACCTACAATCCAGGAACAATTGTATCTGCACGGATGGTACCCTCTCTGACCACCTACAATCCAGGAACAATTGTATCTGCATGGATGGTACCCTCTCTGACCCACTACAATCCGAGAACAATTGTATCTGCATGGATGGTACCCTCTCTGACCCACTACAATCCGAGAACAATTGTATCTGCATGGATGGTACCCTCTCTGACCACCTACAATCCGGGAACAATTGTATCTGCATGGATGGTAACCTCTCTGACCACCTACAATCCGGGAACAATTGTATCTGCATGGATGGTACCCTCTCTGACCACCTACAATCCAGGAACAATTGTATCTGCACGGATGGTACCCTCTCTGACCCACTACAATCCGAGAACAATTGTATCTGCATGGATGGTACCCTCTCTGACCACCTACAATCCAGGAACAATTGTATCTGCACGGATGGTACCCTCTCTGACCACCTACAATCCAGGAACAATTGTATCTGCATGGATGGTACCCTCTCTGACCCACTACAATCCGAGAACAATTGTATCTGCATGGATGGTACCCTCTCTGACCCACTACAATCCGGGAACAATTGTATCTGCATGGATGGTACCCTCTCTGACCCACTACAATCCGAGAACAATTGTATCTGCATGGATGGTACCCTCTCTGACCACCTACAATCCGGGAACAATTGTATCTGCATGGATGGTAACCTCTCTGACCACCTACAATCCGGGAACAATTGTATCTGCATGGATGGTACCCTCTCTGACCACCTACAATCCAGGAACAATTGTATCTGCACGGATGGTACCCTCTCTGACCCACTACAATCCGAGAACAATTGTATCTGCATGGATGGTACCCTCTCTGACCCACTACAATCCGAGAACAATTGTATCTGCATGGATGGTACCCTCTCTGACCACCTACAATCCGGGAACAATTGTATCTGCATGGATGGTACCCTCTCTGACCCACTACAATCCGAGAACAATTGTATCTGCATGGATGGTAACCTCTCTGACCACCTACAATCCAGGAACAATTGTATCTGCACGGATGGTACCCTTTCTGACCACCTCCGGGAACAATTGTACCTTGGACCATTTCTCGATGCCGGCTCCAGGGAGATGGACCTTGGACTGTTCTCTCGATGCTGGCTCCAGGGAGATGGACCATTTCTCGATGCCGGCTCCAGGGAGATGGACCTTTGGACTGTTTCTTGATGCTGGCTCCAGGGAGATGGACCTTGGACCGTTTCTCGATGCCGGCTCCAGGGAGATGGACCTTGGACCGTTTCTCGATGCCGGCTCCAGGGAGATGGACGTTGGACCGTTTCTCGATGCCAGCTCCAGGAAGATGGACCTTGGACCGTTTCTCGATGCCGGCACCCAGGGAGATGGACCTTGGACCGTTTCTCGATGCCGGCTCCAGGGAGATGGACCTTGGACCGTTTCTCGATGCCAGCTCCAGGGAGATGGACCTTGGACCATTTCTCGATGCCGGCTCCAGGGAGATGGACCTTGGACCGTTTCTCGATGCTGGCTCCAGGGAGATGGACCATTTCTCGATGCCGGCTCCAGGGAGATGGACCTTGGACTGTTTCTTGATGCTGGCTCCAGGGAGATGGACCTTGGACCGTTTCTCGATGCCGGCTCCAGGGAGATGGACCTTGGACCGTTTCTCGATGCCGGCTCCAGGGAGATGGACCATGGACCATTTCTCGATGCTGGCTCCAGGGAGATGGACCTTGGACCATTTCTTGATGCTGGCTCCAGGGAGATGGACCTTGGACCGTTTCTCGATGCTGGCTCCAGGGAGATGGACCTTGGACCGTTTCTCGATGCCGGCTCCAGGGAGATGGACCTTGGACTGTTTCTCGATGCCGGCTCCAGGGAGATGGATCTTGGACCCGTTTCTCGATGCCGGCTCCAGGGAGATGGACCTTGGACCGTTTCTCGATGTCGGCTCCAGGGAGATGGATCTTGGATCGTTTCTCGATGCCGGCTCCAGGGAGATGGACCTTGGATCGTTTCTCGATGCCGGCTCCAGGGAGATGGACCTTGGACCGTTTCTCGATGCCGGCTCCAGGGAGATGGACCTTGGACCGTGGACCGTTTCTCGATGCCGGCTCCAGGGAGATGGACCTTGGACCATTTCTCGATGCCGGCTCCAGGGAGATGGACCTTGGACCGTTTCTCGATGCTGGCTCCAGGGAGATGGACCATTTCTCGATGCCGGCTCCAGGGAGATGGACCTTGGACTGTTTCTTGATGCTGGCTCCAGGGAGATGGACCTTGGACCGTTTCTCGATGCCGGCTCCAGGGAGATGGACCTTGGACCGTTTCTCGATGCCGGCTCCAGGGAGATGGACGTTGGACCGTTTCTCGATGCCAGCTCCAGGAAGATGGACCTTGGACCGTTTCTCGATGCCGGCTCCAGGGAGATGGCTTGGACCGTTTCTCGATGCCGGCTCCAGGGAGATGGACCTTGGACCGTTTCTCGATGCCGGCTCCCAGGGAGATGGACCTTGGACCATTTCTCGATGCCGGCTCCAGGGAGATGGACCTTGGACCGTTTCTCGATGCTGGCTCCAGGGAGATGGACCATTTCTCGATGCCGGCTCCAGGGAGATGGACCTTGGACTGTTTCTTGATGCTGGCTCCAGGGAGATG